GGCCCTGCTCAAGCGCTGGGAGGCGGCGTTTGTGCGCGAGCGGGGCCGCAGGCCCGGCCAGGTACCGGCACCGCGGGGCAGCCCCGAGCCGGGCGGGAAACGGAGCCAAAACGGGGCTGGAAAAGGCCAAAACGGGGCTTTTTTGTCCCGTGCGTCCCGGTCGCAGCGACCCCGCGTCTCTCCCGCAGGCCGACGTGGAGGAGGCCCCCGAGGAGACCAGACGTGAGTGCGGGCCCCGGTTTGGGGTCCCCGCGTTCTCGGAGGGGCCGTCCCGGTCCCGGCTCGGGGGGAGGCCGGGCCGGGCCCGCGGGTGTCCCCGTCCCGGGCGGCCCTGCCGTCCCGACCCGCGCCTCGCCGCTCCGCAGGGCTCTACAGGGAGTACCGGAGGCTGAAGCGGAGCGCGGAGCCAGCGGAGCCGCCGCGCGAGGAGCCCTCGGAGCAGGTAGCACCGGCCGGGATCGCCCCGGGAGCCGAAAGCGGGGTTTGGAGAAGCCCTTTTCCTGCCAGGAGCCTCCTGCTTTCCCCATGTCCTTGGCAGCTTTTCCTGTTTTTGCACTAAAAGTTTTTTTTTTTGGTTCCTGTTGTTATTATTATTATTTTATTTTATCTAGGACTGCGCTGTGGAGGCCGGTGGGAAATGGGAGGCTCTTCTGCAGCCTCCCTTTTGAGCTGCCTTTGCCGCTTCCTCCTTTCCCGGTTATTCCCGAGAGGGGAAGCGCTCCCGGGAAGGCTCCTGCTCGGATCGAACTGTTTCTCCTGTTGTTCCTGTTATTCCAGGACTCCGGCTGTGGGGGCGCCCCCCTGAACCGGCAGCCGAAGGGCCCGGCACTGAGCGCCCGCGAGCGGATGCGCTCCAGGCCTCGGCGCAGTATTTCGGAATGAACCTCAAATCCAACCTGGGCGCCGCCATAAAGGTCCGGGATCGCGGGGACCGGCAGCAGCGGGATGGCGGGGGGGAATTCCCGTTAAATTCCGGGCACGTCTCACCCGGTGTGGAGCAACCTGCAGGAAGAGGGGACCAAAAACCGGCCGTGTTTTTATTTGCCGCTACAGGAGAGGGCCCCAGCCCCGAGGAGGACCCTGACACCGAGGCCACCAGCTGTCCCCAGGCTGGAGCAGAGCCGGGAAAGCAGCGACAAGGGCCCATCCCCAAAGCTGGCGCCCAGGGAGGCCCCGCAGGGCCGCGCGGGGGCTGGTTCCCCCACGGGGGACGTTCCCGATCTCCCCCTGCCTCCCTCCGTCTCAGTGCTGGCCCCCGTCGTCCTCTCGGCCCGCGCGGCCAAGCCCGGGCCCCAGGCGAATAAATTCCAGCAGCTGCAGCAGACGCTGGCCCGGAGATTGGGCTC